TATAGATCATAAGTATATTTTTGTTAATTTTCTAGGCAAATTTGCCTGGAAATAGTCTACAGTTTAAGGGATAATATTTTAAAAGTTTGGTTAAACTATTATCAGTAGGCTTATTATTAGAAAGCATATAAAATTGGAATTTAATATAAAAATTTTAATTTGCAAATTGCATGTTTTGCTGCATTTGCATCACTTTTTTCAGTTACTGAAAAGTTTAGATATATGAAATAGTTGTTATTTTTCTAGAAAAATTATATAATAATCCTTAACTTCAAAAAAAATTATATCTAGTACCATCTATTAATATTATATATAAAAGATATTATCTGATATATGATAAAACATTAAAAATATATAGTGTTAAATATATTAAACAGATAATGACAGAAAAATTTGAAGATGAGAAAAACTTATATCAACAAATACAAAAAAGTCAAGATAAAATTGAACAACTATTGGTTCTTGATAAATTTATTGATTAAATAATAAATATTAATAACTATATAATATCAGATCAATATAAATAGCTATAGGCTTTAAGTGAATAAATATATAATGCATTTCAAAATCCAGATCCTAATAATTATTTTCTTTTTAAATATACAACTCAAAATACTACAGAAGGTTACTTCAATATGAAAACTTGTTATCAATATAGAGTAGAATATATGCAAAACCTTCTTGCCAAAGAAGTTTATTTGACTAAAAAAAGAATTCTAAAGAAAAAGCAACTAAATACTTGGATAAAGATATTGTAGCAGCCTTAAAATAATGTAAAAACAGAGAATAATGATCTTAATGTAGTGGTTGGGTTGTTATCCTCCAATTGGCATATCTAAGATTCAAATTCCATCAATGATAAAATTTGGAAATTATATCAGCATTATAATAACTGCCTCTTATTAATTAGTTGGTCTTATGTGGCTGTAACTTAGGTATACCTATACTTGCTAGCAAAATCTGGACAAATCCCAAACCTCAAAAAAACAAATCACTTTTATAAAAAATTAAATCAACAAAATAATTTTAATATTTTATAAATATATTATATATAGCTATAAGAATATAAATTATTAAAAAAAAGGTGAATAAAAAACAACAATCATAATCTCAACAAAAAGAAACCAAAACTTATCAAATAAGATACTAACAAGGGCTAGAGCCCTTGTCCTAAGAAAAAGAAAGCTTCCTCGAAGAGTAGAGCCACTGCCAACAGAAAAAATCTTCAAAATACAAAAACTTGATCTTG